TAATACATTTTGTACTCTGCAAAGGAACAATAATTAAAATAAATTTAGCAAATAATGAATCATTTTACCGTGCCCAAGAAGATGAGCTAAATAATCTTCTGGTTTCTTCAAATAGTCTTGATGAAGACAAGGAAATGTCCATGTTAAGTTGAGTATATGAACATCTTTAACAGCCTCTAGCCTATAAAGTTTTCCAGCTTTCCAGATAGGACCTTCCGTCTTGAACTCCAGATTTACTTGGGGACCTTTTTTGACATTACCATACAATTCCACAACCCAATCCTCAAGTACATCAAGAGATTCTGCAGCAAATAGAACTATTACAATTAATATCACTTAGATTTCATAAATCAGAAGCATAACTGATTCTACTTGGTTTGTTAATTGTATGCATAATTTTTGGGTACATCAATCAAACAAAAAGCTATCAACAATGGCACCACCGCACCACTGTATAGCTAACAGCACCAATAATTCCATCTCCATTGCTACAATAGTTCTTCTGCCAATAGAAATTGCCAAAACATTGCTAACACCAATAGAACATCACAAATGACAAAACTCTAACATGTAATTGTGCACGCTGCTATCAACCTCTACCAATTCAAAGAATCCAACATAACCATCCACAAAACAGAAATCCCGTATAGATAAGTAATTACTTCAAAAAGCTACAATTTGATTGATATCAACTAAGTAAAATTGAACCTCTGTCATTACTTCCATTCAAACACCCTATGTGGCAATACAAAGAATGATATTTGTCAATCAAAATTCAACCCTCGACAAACGGTGGTATAAACAAAACAAAATGAAAATCAATAAGGGATGAAAAGGAAAGGGAAAATTTCACCTCCACCAATGACAACTAGCTTCATTAGTCCACCATGGTAATAATCTTTGTACAATTTTAGTATTTGTTCACGCAAGTTGATCCCTTTTTCCATTGCATCAACCAAGCTCTTCTTATTTCCTTTCATGCATACATAAAATAAAATGTAATTTCATACAAATTAATCATTCTTTTTCTAAAGAAGGAGAGTGAGAGAAGATTGGTTCAAGTTTTACCCCAAAAGAACCTATTAAATGGGTGACCAGGTGTGGATGTATGGCATTGGAGTTGTTCAAGGCGGCAAGAATCATTCTGCAAGGCCTGGTTAAACTCTGCATTCCATTTATTTCAGCAATACAAAGTACCATTCAGCAATAAGAACTTGTAAGCAAAAAGCTGGGAAAGCTTTTAAAAGGAGAAACAGAAACTAATAAACTCGGTTAAGACTTGAAAGCACCTGAATCTACAGCCTGTACCTCTCGCTCCATGGCTTCAATTTTCACTAACGGTGAAACAAAGAACTGAGAAAATCTGATAAAATAAAGGGCCGAAATGAATATAAACCAAGTTGCCGAAACAGAAATTTAAAATGAATTTAGAACTAGAGAATTTCAGACAAAGCGCCACATACATGCTACTAGCTAAATATATTGCAATAGGAATATATGGAGCACAGAACATATTACCATGTATATTAATTTGAAAGGATTTGTATACATTTGATTATAATTCAATGAAAAGATTATGGCGAACCAGATGCCAAGGAACCAAAAGGAACACATTGTTGGATCTTAAAGATCCAAAAGGGAAACCTCAATCCCATTCCAACATTTTTTTGATATGGTTAGTGTACCAATAAGTAATCATTCTTATCATATATGCACCACATACATATAAAAATAACTAAACGAAAAGGTAATTTAATGTTTCAAACTACAGTTCCTACAGCGATACCACATTTTGAAACATTCATATGACAACCATAGATCTTTTCAACTGCAGGCAGCATCAATAACAACTACAGGCTCACTTCATAGACCAAAGAAGTATTCAATACCAAGGACTTCAACTATTGATATTTAAAACATGTAGAGCTCAGACTTTACCTTCTCAAAGCACCCTTAAGAAACTCCCGTTTCACTTCAAAATGGTAGCAGGTATGCTCTGCTTCTGTGTATGCATTTGATGACCCTCCATGCTTGGACAAATAACTATCATACTAGCAAAGAGAAGAGTCAAAGACAAGTGGCCACAAAGATAGCATACATTCTTCCCACTTAAGTGGAAGTTTACAAAAATGTCTAAACAAGTAAAAGAAATTAATTTTAAATGTCATTTTACTATGAGCCCCAAAAAAAAAAAGAAAAAAAGATGAGAACTACTACACACAATTACTATGATAAAGCTGACATTTGCTTTATCCAAAATGCCATCCATTCCCATCAGGTTTATGTTGAAGAAAAATGTAGACAAAGATAATTCACAAGTGACACGACCATACACTCGGTTGTCCCACACAGCCTGACAGATATGCAAGCAGGTGGGAAGCAAAAGAACTAACAAGTCCTCCCACTCATACATACGTAGAACAAGCAGGCTGATGATGCTGCAAAAGGATGGGTAAATATAATTCTTGAGATGCCATGTCGTAATCTATAGTATGGAAAAATTCATGCGGCTTTACTATTGCCATGTACATACTCTCAGTCTCTTAGTAAACCTCGTTTATCATAAATAATACAAAGGATCATGTGCATCTCCGGATGATAAAAACCAATTGAACTAGCACCAAAAATTGGAAAAGAACACTCATGTACAAACAGACCTCATTTTCATCTGGAAACTCTGTACTCCCCATGAAGAGCATATGTTCTGCAAAACATTCAGTATGTTACTTAGTAATTCCTGGACATCAACATTCAGTACATCTTTTGATGACCCATTTGTGCATGTGTAACACAAACCTAGAAAATGAGCAAGTCCCTGTGCCTCGAACGGGTCAGAGAAGCTGCCTATGCCTACGCACATTGCTGCTGCTGCCTGTAAAGACGATCAAATGTCGTTATTTATCCAATTAAATCAAATTCTTGTAACTGAGCTGAGTAAACATCATATCATTAAGTAGATTAGAGATCAGTGTCATTCTCATAAATTATACTTGGAAATAGAATTACCAAAAACAACTCAAAGGTTCCACTTGGAATTAGGACTATGGAAGCTCGGCAAACTCATCCTTTTGTGTGAAAAAATTGTTTGAAAATGTGAACTATTTGATAACTATTATATTGCAGAAAAAGAAGGATGGTGGAATCTTAAAGCAGTAACCAAGTAAAAGTTCAAATCTTGGACAACCATGCAGTGATCTTGAAGTTCCAGTTATTTGGTATCAGTCATGCAGACAAAAAAGTCATATTGCTTTCCTATCTATAAGCAATTTTCATCAATGTATTGCGGATTATATCAACTGGGTTTTGAACATAAATATATTTATAAATCGATGCGAGATGGGCATTGCATATTTTCAATGTAAATCATAGACCAACCTTCTTAGTCTGAGAAGCACCACCCTTTCCCTTCTTTTTCAGTTCACCATCTCCGCCCTCTCCTTCTTCATCTTCTTCATCTTCTTCATCGTCCTCTTCATCATCATCCTCTCCTTCACTATCTTCCCCTTCCGCTCCATCCTCGTCATCATCCTCATCCTCATCTTCCTCTTCTTCAGCTTCGCTGTGTTCAAGGGACTTGGAGTGTTCAGGCGGCCCTTCTGGGTAAATCTCAGGATCGTGAACAAGCAATGCAGAGAGGCCATTCTCGAGCTTGATTAATCTGTATAATCGTCTATCATTCGGAGACTTGATTACGATATCGTCCGACGAAAAAGTGCAACGAGCCATGAGATATACAGAGAAGGAAGAGAGAGACAGAGTACAGAGTCGGCTATGTAGCTAAAGGAGCTGTCTCAGTTCTACTTCTATGGCTCTTTCTCTCTACTCAGAGGGGTCTTCCAACTCGAAGAACTTGTTGGAGCACAATATATATGCAGGACATTCTGGGAATTTAATCCTTTCTTGTGGGTGCTTTAAGGGATTTTAAATTGTTCGTTTGGCCCGCTTTAACCTAGGGATGTATTTTCCCCCAATCCCTTCTATTCCCGCGGGACCCCTTTTCAGAGAGCCGCATCGCATCCTAGTTTAAAGTTTATTCGGATTCCGAAGGGTTTGTTGGCCACGAGAAAAACCTGCATATCGCCACTGTATTATATTTCTAATCAATCACGTTACGCATAATAAAATTTTCACATAAAGAAATGTGATTAGATGAAAATAGTAAAACAGTCTGTGACATGCAAGTTCTTCTTATTAGTCAAATGATCCAACTCGCATCTATAAAAATACGTATATTTTTTTAATTAATTAACATTTTTAATTTTTAATTTGTGTTTATAGGATTATATAATTGTATGAGCTATAGCATTTGTCCTGCACTATATTATGATATTTAATTGAGGAAAACAAAATTTAATCAAAAAGGTTGTAGAGGCCACAAATTATCCACGAAATTCACGTTAGGGCATCCTCATCCTCGCTCTGTTACTGTGCCATGACCGCATACTTATTATTGCAATTGCAATTTTAGTGGGTTTAACTTTCAAGCTAAACTTGTTGCAACCAAGCCATTAATTAATCTATATCGAAAATGTGAATCATGACATCCACAATAATAAGTTAAAACAAGAACAAGTGAAGATTGTGTTAACTTCCATCATTTTAAAAAAAATTGCTTTAACAATACAAGAAACTCTCGTTTATTCATCAATTGAATCTCAACCTAACAACTTAAAGTTCGATTTCTTTGAAAAATAAAGTCCAAAAATAAATCATGTTTGAATAGGTTTACTAACTCTGAATTTATAATACAAATTGATAACCTAGTTTGATAAACATAAACGATAGTTTCATCCTTTGTTCGACTATCAATTAGAATAATTTTTTACGTCAAATTAAGATTGAATGCATGGTCAAGAAAATATTCATTAAAGAAGCCCCAAATACGTTTAAAGGCCCAAAATTGAAGCCCAAATTCAGAGACTATAGACAGTAGTATTCGTCTACCATCCCCACAAATAGCCCCAAATTCAAAGAGTGGACTGTCGTTTGATGATCATCATCGGTCCATTAAACCCTAACGTCTTTCTGTTGCTCCCAATTCCGCTTAGAAAACCTAATATCCCAAACAAGCTAAATCAGCGCGCTTCAGATTAGGGTTTCAGTTGCCTCGTTCATGGACTCAGACGTCGACGTTTCCCGGTGGGTCCTCGAGCTCCTTATCCGAGACCGCGAGAAGGAGTGCATTGCCAAGAGAGTCCTCGCAGTTGCGCCATTCTCGGACCAAGACTATCGCTTGAAGAAGACCGTGCTCCTCCGAACCATCGAGTGCGATGTCTACGACGCTTTGGTCACTGAAACGATGCTAGAAACGCTTGAAATGATCGAGGATTTGGATATTAGCCAAGGCATTGCGACCACGGACTCCATGAAAGCCGCGTACTTGGCCGTCGCCACTGAGTGTACGGTCAAGTTCTTGGTGGGCCTCATGGGAAAGCCGAGCGGGAAGTACTTGGAGGCTGTTGATCGGATTTGGAGAGGAAGGGTTGGGGCTTTGGAGCGGTCAGAGACGAGCCAGCTGATATCTGCCGAGTTGAGGCAGAGAATGGACGAGGTCGAGGCGGGGGTTTGGGATTTGAGAGTGTCGAAGAAGTTGTCAAGGATGAACACGAGGAACGATGCGCTGAGATTGGTTGCGGTATATGTGAAGGAAGCATTGGCGTTAATGGGACCTCCGTTTATTACTTGGGCTGTAAGATTGAATGTGCCCAAGGAAGTTGCCGACTTGGAGGGTGATCAGATTGCAGTGGCGAAAGAGGCTAATGTGGGTGGTGGGCCTGAAGCGGAGGCGCAAACAAAGAATGGGGCTAATGTGGGTGATAGGTCTGAATTGGAGGCACAAACGGAGAATGGGGCTAATGCCGGTGATGGGTCTGAACTGGAGGCTCAAATGGCGAATGCGGCTGATGTTGGGGGTGAGTCTGAATTGGAGGCTCAAATGGAGACTGGGGCTAATGTTGGCGGTGAGTCTGAATTGGAAGCTCAAATGGAGAATGGGGGTAATGTGCAAATGGCTAGTGGAACTAATGCGGTTGATGGGTCTGAATTGGAGAAGGAAGTGGTTAATGAGACTAATGCAGGGGATGGGTCTCAGTTGGAGGTGCAAACTACAAATGGGACTAATGCGGCTGGTGAATCTGTACTGGAGGCACAACTAGTGAATGGGACTAATTTGGGTGATGGGTGTGAATTGCAGGCGCAAAGGGTGAATGAGGCTAATGGGAGTTGTGGGTTTGAATCGGGTCCACAACCGATGACTGGGGTCCAATTGCGGGAAGTCGGGGCAAGGCGCATGCCACCTACTATGAGCCGGGATTTAGTTTTGAATGAAAGGGATTCTGGATTCACGAACAGAGAAGTGCTCAGGTTCGGTGATGATCAGGTTCATGAGATAGGCGTGGGTTTGCCTAGTACGAATAGGGAACTGGTTCTCAGTTTAGATCCAACCACGAAAGATAAAGGTACATTGTTTTGCTAGCAGAGATAGAGGTAAAGTGACATTACTTTATGTGCATGGAGGCTGAGAGGTTGCTCTGTATTGTTTTATCTAAGCACCTTGATCATCTTAAGTATTGCTGAGTTTTTGTCCTTATTTCCAAGCTGGCTGCTATCTGTTGTTCTTTACCTGTTTCGGGGTTGTTTTACCAAATATACGGCCTTTTCTCTCTCATGCCAAGCTCTCAACCCCCTGTAACTGAAGATTTAAATGTATTATCCTGCTTAATATAGTTATTGCAGGGTTTGTGTTTCAAATGATTACATTTCGCTTTCTTCCTCTTTATTTCTTGTAGAAATTCAGAGGAGTGCGGGACTTAGATACAAGCACCTTGCTCATAGGCGCACTAGAGGACCGGTTAGGATTCGGGACGCTGAAGATTTGGGCACAGACTTATCAAATAGTAAATATGATTCCCTGTCTACCCCTGAGGTTAGCAATGCACAAGAAGCACTTAGATCCAGTATTTTGGAGCTACAAGCAGTAGTGACAGATCCACTTCCAGATGCTTTACGAGTGGCTGAAACCATAAGATTGGATTTGGCAATGAAATCTGTGAATGCAGGGGCAGAAAATCTCTCTGTTGAGAAGGGTGCTGGACCCGTTCAATCTCATAACGATAATCTTGGAAATATGTCTGTTCCCCAATCTAGTGGAAAAGAAAAGGATGTACCAACTCCTCCTGTCAACCAGGGAAAAGGAACTGAGTCTGTTCAAGCAGATGATGCCAATGTTGGAAATCCGTCTTCCAGCAATAAGAATAATGCTCCTCGACCAATGACAGATCCACTTCTGGATGCTTTACAAGTGGCTGAAACCATAAGATTGGATTTGGCAATGAAATCTGTGAATGTAGGGGCAGAAAATCTCTCTGTCGAGATAGGTGCTGGACCTGTTCAATCTCATAACGATAATCTTGGAAAGGTGTCCTTTCCCCAATCTAGTGGAAAAGAAAAGGATGTACCAAATCCTCCAGTCAACCAGGGAAAAGGAACTGAGTCTGTTCAAACTGATGATGTCAATCTTGGAAATCCGTCTTCCAGCAATAAGAATAATGCTCCTCGACCTAGCTTGATGGAACGTAATATTACTGCTCATACTTACGAGGTATTTATGTTCGTGTCCTTTTTGTGCTATTATAATAGCCTAAATTTGTGTGCATACTATTGTCCATAGGCCTGCAATTTTGTGGTTCTGGTTACTTATAATTTGTATTTCATGTTGAGTTTTTGCAGTGGGATGACTCAATAGATACTTCACAAGGAGCAATGAAAGATCCAGGCAGGCTTCACTTACCTAGCCCAAAGAGGAATGCTGTTTCTCCATTGAAGAAGTATGAGAATAAGAGATTTACTAAGAGAAGAAAAGCTAAGAGATGGAGCTTATTGGAAGAAGACACCTTAAGGACTGGTGTACAGAAGTATGTAGCACCCTTTCTCTAGCTTTTGCCTCTAAAATGGGTCTTTTTATTTCCCTTTTTTTCTAAAATAATAAGAATAATTTATTGGGTTGGGTTTAGATGGTCATTGGGTAGGTATTATTGGTAATAGGCTTGTTTGTATTTCCAATCTCTTTCAAACTTATTACTATGGTTACCTATTATGACTAATAATATGAAGATAATTATATGACCCTATAACTTACTTACTAGCTGTCCTGCTTCTATTGACTGAATACATCGTATCTAATATTAGCGAGTAGTATGTATTATTTCGAGTCTCATTATTGTGATCCTTTTCAATGAAGGTATGGCGCGGGAAACTGGAAATTTATCTTGAATAGCTACCGCGAGATATTTGAAGAGAGAACTGAGGTACGTGAGTTTTGTAATTTTCCAATGGCTCTTAACTTTGCACATAAATTTATTCTACAAACAAGACACCATCAATGTGTATTATGTCTAAGACTTTTGAGGTTACTATGTCCAGGTTGATTTGAAGGACAAGTGGAGAAATATGACACGGTAGAGGCACATGTGAATAGTTTGCTACTCACGTGTATTTTGGTCATCTGGTACCTCATTAGAGCTGTATGTATTTTGTATGCTTTGTACAACTATAGGGATGTTGATGAGAGATGTTTTTTTGGTGTTGCGCCCTTATCAACGTACAGTAGTTGGATGTTTCAGTATATACCTGTATAACTTTTCCCATGAATAATGGATGTACGCATGGCCAACTTAGACAAAATGGCCTAAATTGAAGCATGATGAAATGGTACTAACTGTTTATACCCTATACAATATTTTACAATGAACAGACGGCTTAGGCTAATATTTTGCAAGTGTATATTACTTTGGTGGAATTTTTATATCGTTAGTTATAATCTGTTCAAACACTCACCACTCACCTGCCATTCTCCCATCCATCTCAACCCTGCCTCATAAATTTCTTTAGCCTTAGTCTTTCCTTCCATCACATCTTTTCTTCTTCACAAAAATGACGGAACCCAAAGGCAAAGGAAGCAAGGACAGCTCCAATCCTTTGAGATGAGGAAAAGTGAGTGAAATTTATTATTCATAATAATATTCATTATTATTGTTTGGGCTATATGGTGGGAAAGAAATCAACGGATTTTTGAAGATGCGAAGTGGGCGGACGTGGGAAAAGGAAAAGTACTGGGCAGCGATATGGGCTTTGTTTATCCTATTTTTAGGAATACATCCTTTTCAAACATTTTGCTTGAGTGGAAAGCTGCAGTGTTAGGATTGGTTTCCTCTCATAGTTGTAGATCTCTGTAGTAGTTTTCCTGTTTCTTTCTGTTATTGGTGGATTACCTGTCCACTTTTCTGTACGGTTTTTTTATGAAATAATATTTCTCTTTTTAAAAAAAACAGAGAAAAAGATTTGCAATCCTTAAATTGCTTTCTTATCTATGCATGTATATATATGCCTTCCTTGTTTATGCGAACAACTTGCTATAGGTAGCCCTGATTGTTACTTCATTAAAACTGGGATGATCTCTCAGTGTGGTAAGACTTAAGCTGCTTAGCATCTTGGTGTTCTGTGACTTAGATGGTGAGGAATAACTTACATCTAGTTTCTATGTATAGAGTTGCTTCTGATTTCAATATATGCAAGTGGCGGTTGAAGATATTTTTTTCAACCATGTTGCCAGGAAAACATAATATTTGAGTTCTGGGTCTTTTTAATTGATATACTGTTGCGCAAGAGCCTCGTTATTCAATTATTTAGAAGTTCTATAACTGTCTTCCCCAATACGTTTAACTTTTTTGCTTAATAAATTTCTTGCTACAGATGAACTTTATAAGTCGATGTACTTCTTGCCGATGCTGGTCCAAGCCATTCTATGAGGTTTGGTTCCCACAGCCACTGGTGGTATTCCTGAGGTAATAGTAGGTTGAGTTCTGGCTGCCCTGTGGTTCATTTAGAACTTGCTTTGTGAGAGGAGGCTTAGCATCTAGTTCACATCTTTTTTATTGGCGATGTCGATGTGGTGAGATGGGCATAACACCTCTAAAGAGAAAAATGCATTAGAACTCAATGAAATCGTAATCAGGCTGACATGGTCGATTTTTCTGCCCAGAATATACCAGTCTTTTTCCATCAGAAAAGTCAGAAGGAAAGAACAAGGAAAATAAGTAACTTAAGGGGTAGAGCCAGCTCAGCTTATTTGCCAAATCCATAGAACAAAGCAGTCAAAGAAGTTCAGAAAAGTTGACAATACTGTTCTGCAATTGGAGCCTTGCATTGTTGAAGCCAGGAATCTGGAATTTTCTTTGGAACTGGAGACGTATGTAATTAGCGAAATGCCAACAAAACCAAGCTTGAATGTGTATAATTCACAATGGGCTCGGGACAAGTGGAGGTTGAAAGAGTACTTCAGTAGCAATAATGATTAGCTGCATATGCTGATATGAAAAGGCCTTGCATCTGGTTCTATAGTGATTATCAACTAATCTTTTCACTGCAGTTAAGAGAGAACCAAGAGGAAGAGATATGGAATCTTCATTGTGTGAAAAAAATTCTTCTGTCTTGTCCTTGGCTTGCATGTCTATAACAATGTTCACATCCCCAAGAAGGCTCGCTCAGGCCCCTTTGAATTTTTCTGCCCAGATTTTTCCGTGGGCCGTATAACAATGGTTCATTGTGTGGAAAAAATGCTTCTCTCTTGTCCTTCGGCTTGCATGTGGAAATGCTATAATGAGGGCTTAAAGTGAGGAGGTTATTTGAGGAGGTCAAATCTCACCATCAACAAATGTAAAAAAATCATGGGACTTAAATATTTTAAATGTTTTGACGGTCGGATCGGTCTCCTCACTTTAACTCCTCACTTTAACTCCTTATTGTAGAAGCTCCCCGCTTGCATGTCTACAACAATGTTTACATCCACAAGAAGGCTCACTTGCTCAGGCCCCTTTGAATTTTTCTGCCCAGATTTTTCCGTAGGCCATATAACAATGGTTCATTGTCTGTAGAAAATTCCTCTCTTAGCCTTTTCGCTATAACAATGTCACATCCATGTTCCCAACTCAAGTTACTCACGGAACCCTCATCACAAGCCAATTGCTCAGGCCCCTTTGAATATTTCTGCTCAGATTTTTCCGCGGGTCATTGTTGTATGGAAAGTTGAATTTTCTTCCAGCCTACTATGACCACTGGTAACACACAATTAGACTCTTTTTTATTGTATGGCCTTTGTCACATACTTGATGGTTAATTTGCAAAGAGGGAAGACCAACCAAGACCCGCTGCTGGCTCACAAATCACAATCTTCCTTGCCAGGTGCCACTTTATATAAAGGCAATAAACAAGTGTGCTTCTTACCAGATTACCCAAAGCAAAAGAGGAAAAGACTCACGGAAGGATAGCAGCTATGGCCGGGTCTGCAGTCTGTGGGGCGGCATTCATCGTGGTGCTATTATGCATGCTCATGACTACTCCTTACGTCATTAATGCAAAGGTAACTTGCGGTCAGGTTGTCACCTTACTCACTCCATGCATCCCCTTTGGAGTATTTGGAGGGACTGCCACCAGAATGTTGTGCAGGCATTAAAGGGCTCCATGATGCACAAAACACCGCAGAGGATCGCAGAACTGCATGCGGTTGCATTCAACAGGGGGCTGCAATGATCCCTGGGATTGACTATGACCGCATTAACACGCTGGGAGATCGATTCTCCTTGTCCGTACAAAGTTTATCCCTCTACTAATTGCTCCGAGTAAGCCTTCGATATACACACATACCAATTTTATTTATTTTTTCTGGTTGAAATCTAAGTGTGAAATTTGAGTGTTAGTGAGTTCTATCTAAGAGACTTGATATTCAGTGGTACTTGTCATACTATGATTATTTTATTTTTATAACATATTTGCCTCTTTCCC